ATATATGTGTGCATGTATATATATACACGTATATATACATGTATATATATACATGCACACATATACTTGTATATATATACACACACATATATATACATTGTGTGTACACATATATATAGTGTGTGTACACATATATATATATAGTGTGTGTATATATATACACACACACACATATATACACACACACACACTACATATATATATATAGTTTACTGGAACCATAGGTCTCACCTTTGTAGCAATTCCCAAAATTGTTATTTTTTACAAAAGTTTAATCAGTTACTTGATGCAAGCTTCCCCACGACTGTGAGCTCCACAATTGCAGGGGCGTGTTTGGTTTTGCTCATCCTGGCTTAGCACAGTGCCTGGCACAGAGAGAAGAATGAGCAGACAATCCTTAAATAAATGAATAAGAAATGTATGAATTAACCACTAAACAGGTTAAGTTCATCTCTAGTGTAAAAGGATGTCCACTATGGCAGGCTTCCCTTTGGGTAATTAAGAAAGAAAAGTTAGTAGCATGGTGATGACTGTGAAAGAAATTCAGTGGTTTTCTGTATTCCTGGAGAGAACAGTGGCAAGAGTATGACTCCCCACCTGCCACCCCAATTTCTAATTTCCTTTTATAATCCAAGATGTCCCTAGAAAATCAAATGATTGAAAAGTTAGAAAGATCTCAAATTAACAACCTAACATGAGCCCCAGAAGAACTATAAAAACAATAGCAAACCAACCCCAAATCTGGCAGAAGACAAGAAATAACCAAATTCAGAGCTGGACCGAATAAAACTGAGATGTGAAAAACCATACAAAATCTCAATGAAACCAAAATTTGGTTATTTGAAAGAATAAATAAGATGAATCGACTGCTAGCTAGACTAATAAAGAAAAAAGAGAGAAGATCCAAATAAATACAATCAGAAATGACAAAGAGGACATTATCATTTACCCCCCTCCCCAAAATACAAAAACCCTCAGAGAGTATTACACAGCTCTATGCACACAAACTAGAAAACCAAGAAAAAATGGAGACATTCCTGGAAACAAAGAACCTCTCAAGATTGAACCAGGAAGAAATTGAAACCCTGGATAGACCAATAACAAGTTCCAAAAGAACTTGTAATAAAAAGCCTACCAACCAGAGAAAGCCCCAGAAAAGATAGATTCACAGCGTAATTCTATCACAAATATAAAGAAGAGTTGTACCAATCCTACAGAAACTATTCCAAAAAATTGAGGCAAGGGACTCCTCCCCAACTCTTCTATGAGGCCAGAATCATTCTGATATCAAAATCTCGCAGAGGCACAACAAAAAAAAACTTCAGGTCAATATTCCTGATGAACATAGATACAAAATCCTCAACAAAGTACTAGCAAACAAAATCCAGCAGCACATCAAAAAACTAACCCACCATGATGAAGTAGGCATTTCCAGGATGCAAGTTTGGTTGGACATACGTAAATCAATACATGTGATTCATCACATAAACAGAACTAAGAACAAAAACCACATAATGACCTCAATAGAGGCAGAAGAGGCTTTTGATGAAAACCCTCGACAAACTAGGCATTAAAGGAGCATACCTCAAAATAATAACAGCCATCTAAAACAAACCCACAGCCAACATACTG